TATGCATCGGCAGGATTTGTAATCGATGCATCGAGAAAATGAATGAATCGTTACACCCCTAACGGATAGTGAACCAAATCATTTTCAGTGGGCAAAAATGAGGTTGGAGCATTAAACAGCTGTTACTGGTTCCATGTGAAAGGCTCACAAAGGTCCTAAACAAATGTTTTTTGTGGGAACCTATAACTATCCTCTATGTAATTATGCCCCCCCACCCCCCACTACTGAAAGTGCCATTGATGAACAGCACTGTTGTTCTGCATGGTCTGTAAGTACATAGTAATTACAGACCACAAGGACCATTATTAAATTAGATTTGTTTTACTCCTTTTTTAAAATTTATTTATTTGGGGGGGGGGGGGGGGCGTTCAGTTACTCACTTGTTTTAGCTGTTCATCTTCTCCGGACCTGCTAGTGATCTTCAGGTCACCAGCGGTGACAGATGTGGGGCTGTGTGACCTGTGTAAAGCCATCCATTTGTGAGAGAACTTGTATTAGGACAAGAGTGTCAGAAGATTCTTGGTGGATGAACACCCCCATGCAGTGGGGAGAGAGCAGGCAGCGTGAGGGGGGGGGGGGGGGGGGGGGGGGGTCCCTCGGCAGGCTGTCACTGGGAATGATGGCAAGCCTGGGTGGAAATGAAAATGGCAGCAGAGTATCATACAGTAGGTACAACTTTGTGGGCTCAATGTTGGCTTTGAAGAACCCTTAATCATGACAAATCAGTTATTAGATCAATCCATCCATCCACCATTAGTTTCATCCATCCATCCAACATTAGTTTCATCCATCCATCCATCCATCCATCCATCCATCCATCCACCATTAGTTTCATCCATCCATCCACCATTAGTTTCATCCATCCATCCAACATTAGTTTCATCCATCCATCCATCCATCCATCCACCATTAGTTTCATCCATCCATCCATCCATCCATCCTTCTTCTGACCACTTATCAGGGATGAGGCGGAGGACACCCTGGACAGCATGCCAGTCCCTCACAGGACGCACAGAGCTTGTCTGCAGGTCTGTCCACTCCACCACCTCTTATTAGCTTGTACAAAAAATAACAATTATCTGGAAGGGTAAACTTTAATAACAGTGACTTTTTAAAAATCATGTATTCTTTCTTGCATTTTTAAATGTTTGTATGGGGGTTGGGTTTTTAATTCCCCTCTGAACACACAGTTCTGTCAAGTGGGAAACGGTTGGGTATTTACAAAGCAAGACCTTGTGGAAGTCAAGGGAGTGGAGAACGTCTACAAAAACAGCAGATACGCCGTTCTTACAGTCACCATTCTCCTCTCCTTCTCCCTGGATCGACATCTTTTCCGTAGACGCTGGTGACTGGGGCTCGCTAATGGACCAGACCGTGGTGTTGATTACCGGCTGCTCCTCCGGCATCGGGCTCAGTCTGGCCGTGCGGCTGGCCTCTGACCCCTCCAAGATCTACAAAGGTGAGCAAACTGCAGTATATCTTCCTAGAGCTGACAAAATGACTGAAATGTAATGTCACATCGCGATATATGTCTTTCTCATTAACATGATTAACTGTGTCACCTCAAAATTCTTTCTTATTTTGTTCTGCAAAAATTCTTTATTTTGTTCTGAAATGTTTTTTCTTTAAAAGAACCTAGAAAATAACAACAAAGGTTTTGTAATATAGTTACAATTAATTACATTTTTAAGGGAACTTGAAATCTTGAACCATTGTTAATAATAATAATAATAATAATAATAATAATAATGATGATGATGATGATAATAATAATGCTTTATAGTATTGTTGTTGTTTTTCTAGAAATTATTATGAAAGCATTATTAAAGCTGTGATTATTCTTGAAACAGTTTTATAACAGTTTTACTTACCTAGACAGGGAAGTAATGGTTGTGTTATTGTGCACGAAAAGCAGCATGAACGTCATTCTGCCTCTTTAGTTTACGCCACCATGCGAGATCTTGCCAAGAAGAAGCGCTTGATGGACTGTGTTAAGGACTCCCACAAGGACACAATGGACGTTCTCCAGATGGACATCACCCACCACCAGTCCATCCTGGACGTCAGGGACGGCATTAAAGAAAAACGCGTCGACATTCTGGGTAAAGGCAGTCTGTCACTGTATCGATAGGACAGACTGCAGTTACTGCTGATTTTTTTATGGTGCCTAAATATGGGGAAAATTATGGCTACATACATTATAATCACAATAGGTAAGAGAACTTAAGAACCCCACTGAATATAAGTTCTAATACTGTAATTTAGAAATGTAGGTTCCACATTGTCATTAACCTTACCTGCAGTTTTTCAGAAAGAAAAAAAAAGAAAGTTCTGATGTTAACTGACAGTTAATACAATACAATACAATGGCCTTTAAAACAGCAAGCAATTGATTTTGACGGTCTTTAATACAAGGGCATTTTTGTATTATAATGCAAGTTTTGAAAAAAATTACAGTAATGAGAGTGTATTTGTGGTACGTTATGTTACACTGTCAATCGAAATGCAGCTGACTGTCAAAATTATTTTTGAGTTTTTTAAATTATGTATATTTATGAATCATTTTGTAACAGTTCTGTGTCCATATTCCCAAGGACCATTTGTAGATAATAGATCCAAAAATTGCTTAGACTACTAGTTTATTCTGGTGGTATTTCAATAAATACATCCGTTTTCTATACTTGCCTGACCTCACCTATACCGGAAGCAGGGCAGGGTAACCCCGAACGGGGCACGCTCACACTCGCTGGGAGAAACCAGCGGAAATCCTATGACGACACGGAGAAAAAATGGGCAGAGACTCGAGATCGGGTGCTGGCTGTGAGAAGCAGCAGTGATAATCGCTGCACCACCTGGAACCTGAAAGCAAGATAAATATTATTTACATAAGGCTGCTAAAACACTAAGGCAGAAAAGAGCTTTGCGCTGTAGAGGCAGTGCCCTGATTACGAACGCGATCCGTTCCCTAAGTCGAAACAATAATAATACAGTACATAATAATAATAATAATAATAATAATAATAATAATAATAATAATAATAATAATAATAAAAGTAACTACATTTGATACTTACTGTACCTCGGTCTGATGAACCGCTGAATCCACAAAGTAGCTCGTGCGTTCCTTAGGCCACTTAAAATTAATAAATTGTTTTACATGACTCAAACTTCTAAAATATTGGTGAGTAGGGGATTTTATATTTTATATTTTATATTTTTAGCGAAAAGACGATCGGCAACAGAGATATACTAAAACTAGAAAATTAAACTTTAATTTGTCAGTATCTCAACATTTTAAACTCTCAACAGTTCAAACAATTACAAGAAAAGAGAAACCTTCAAAAGAAATGCCTAGTCTAAGTGTTTAATGGTCTTGCCACAGAATGGCCCAATAAAAGCGTCCTCCTGACAATAGCAAAACAACAGCACTTCCATTGTTTCAAACAATAGAAGTGCTGTTGTTTGACCTCAATGAGGGTCACTATTATTGGACCACCCTACAAGAGACTACTTGCTCACAGTGCACAGGATATCAGGATTTGGCACATTGACGATCTCTGACAGTTTTTGAGGTGAAAAAAACTGATTTTTTGAAAAATATAAAATATTTAAAAAATCGAGGCGGCACCAAAAAATTGAGGCGGGCGGCCATGTAAAACAATTAATTAATTTTAAGTGGCCTTATTATGAACCGCTGTATTTAATCCGAATTTTTTATATAAGCTTTATGCGACTCCGTTCATAACTAGAAATTGTGCTTGTTGACAGTGTGTAACGCTGGGGTGGGGCTGGTAGGCCCCCTGGAGTCCCAGTCCATGGAGATGATGAGGCAGATCCTGGAGGTCAATGTCCTGGGCACCATCCGGACCATCCAGACCTTCCTGCCCGGGATGAAGGCGCGAGGATCCGGCCGCGTTCTAGTGACAGGCAGCATCGGAGGGCTGCAGGGTGAGGAGGCGGCTGCAGACGGGGGATGGGTTATAAGGAGGTGACACAGACCTCTGGGGCTTCGTCTTTCAGGTCTCCCGTTCAACGAGATCTACTGTGCCAGCAAGTTTGCAGTGGAGGGCGTCTGCGAGAGTCTGGCCATCCTCCTGCAGCACTTTAACATCCAGTGAGTTGGCAGGCAGGGCCATTACAGCATGATCTCCCACCAGAGACACCACAAGCCTCACAGTTGGTTCAATAATTTATGAAATCAGCACCAATTAGTATATAATTCTACATTATTACATACTACCCCTGATACATAGGTGCAAGGGTATATGAGAGAGTGTGATACTGCGAGGGGGTGGGAGGATGGGAAACAACTTAATTTAAATGCAAAGGTGCATTGTTTTTTTTTGGGGGGGGGCAGTGAAGCCAAATTAAGTATTGGGGGGTACCCTCCCACTTCCCTCCATGTTCCTACATCCCTAAATTTGAAGTAGATGTTGATTCTACACTTACTTTTTCCGGTCATATCCATACTTAAATAAATATATTTAATTATATGCAAGACATACAAAGACACCAAGTACCAAATTCTCCCCTCTTATGCACTCTAACCGTAATGCAAATTTCATTATTTTGATTACATATTTCGTTTGAGAAGACCAAAGTTGATTTGACTTGGAATTTAGCAGTTTGAACTACATGTAACTCATGTCACTGTCAGTAAGGATCTTTGATAGCAGAGTGAGGTACACGTCAAGTTTACGGCTCCTGTTAATTGATACACGTGCGCGTCTGTTTTCGTGGGTTTCTGCCGGAGGGTTATTTAAAGCAGTGTTTCTCACGCCGGTCCTTGGGGACCCACAGACAGTCCGCGTTTTTTTGCAAAAATGTGGGCTGTCTGGCAGGGAGCTGGGAGGGAGCAAAAATGTGGGCTGTCTGGCAGGGAGCTTGGAGGGAGCAAAAATGTGGGCTGTCTGGCAGGGAGCTTGGAGGGAGCAAAAACGTGGGCTGTCTGGCAGGGAGCTCGGAGGGAGCAAAAATGTGGACTGTCTGGCAGGGAGCTTGGAGGGAGCAAAAACATGGACCGACTGTGGGTCCCTGAGGACCGGAGTGGGAAACACTGATTTAAATGTAGCAAACATCCCCAGGTCAGAGCCCACAGCGCAGTGTTTCTAGGGCGACGCTTCAGTACAGACAGCCACTGTGCTCGGTGCCCCCCGCAGTGTCAGCCTGATTGAGTGCGGCCCAGTCAACACGGACTTCCTGGCCAACCTGCGGCGGACCGAGCCAGGGGACGCCTCGCTGTCGCAGGCGGACGCTCGCACCCGCGCCCTGTACGCGACGTACCTCCAGCACTGCGACACCATGTTCCAGGACGCCGCGCAGGAGGCCGGGGACATCGTGCAGGTGCGTGTCACAAAGGGAAGGAAAATTCCTGGAAATTCTCCATTCCATGGGAAAGTGAACTGGGGAATTTCGAAACTATTCCAAGTTGGAAACTTTCCATGGGAATTAACAGGAATATATGGGGATTAACTGGAAAATTCCTAGAATTTTGCAACCCTATGTGTGACACACACACACACACACACACACACACACAGTATTATATATTACTATTTACAAAACTTGTTGGTTGAAACAAAATCTTTGTCTGGATTTGTGCTCTCTGGACCTGAAATCTCCACCTCAGGTTACATCACACACACTAGGTGCTTATTTCTGGTTAATCTGAATATGTTCATGATCCTGATTTAAAAGAGGACAGGCCATCTGACAGATGTGTCACGCAGGTCTTCCTGGAAGCTATCGAGGCCCAGAGCCCCGCTCTGCGTTACTACACCAACAGCGCCCTACTGCCCCTGACCACTCTGAAGCTGGCCGCGCGGGACGGCTCGCAGTACGTCAAGGCCATGAACAAGTTCATATTCTCCATCGACAAGGCGGGAGACTGCTGAGTGTCCCCACTGCAGACAGCAATCAGTTTAACTTGTCAATTACAGGGCAACCGCTGTAGCGTCCCTCTGCTGCATGACACATTATGCATGTGTGAGTAAAGAAAAACAAAAGTGTCTTTTAATACCGCAGTTGAAGGGTGTTCATTGTTTCTGTAGATTCAGCTGGAAATTAGCTGAAGTGATGACACTTCTCCCGAAGAAGTGACTTCGGCAGCTCAGAAAATAAAGTGTCGATTGTTCATTTGCATGCTAAGTGTTGTGATGTAAGTTCTTCATTGCTTACTGTCTTACCAGTTATTACCTCATTTGAACACATAATACCGCCAAAACCACAGTGCCGTCTTCCACGACGCCGCCCAGGAAGCTGAAGACGCGAGGAGTAGGGTTAGGTAAGACATGAGGCGTGACCCAACCACAAACCGGCAGGGACACAGCAACCTCCCGGAAAAGAAAGAACTGACAGGGGACTCCAGTGAGGGCAACAGTGTGAATTTCTTGGTTTGAGGCCTTTCTGCCATCTCTGAGTTGAATGGCTAAATGATCCTTTCCAGACGTTTATGCGTAGCCTTCCACTGGAATCCAGTGAAAGGTCGCTGTTCCTGAAGTACTAACAATAGTGTTGCAAACGTAATGCAGCTTTCCTGGGAAGTACACGAGCATTATAGGCTTGTTTTGATTCCGTTGACCTCCTCAAGGATGGAGAGAGTACTCCCAAAACAACAGCACGTCGTGACTGCAAAACTCCCAGCTAAGTTTGATTAACTTCTGAGAGAACTTCATGATTGTCTTATTAATTATAAAACAATTGCAAATTTAATCTAACAATTTATGGGACCGTAAAGGTTTGAGAGACCATGAATAACATGTAGCACATAGAAGAAATAAAATGACATGTAATAAATTAAAATATACAGCAGAAAACTGCCCATGATGCATCAGATGTGGTCAGATACTGTTGTCTGAGGCATCGCTTGATACAACACAAACATTATTTGAGGCCTGAGCCACCTTAGACAGCCGTCTGCTGGATTTCATGTAATTACAATAAAATGGCGAAATATTCCTGCATTTCAAGTGAGTAGGTGAGGCAGGGGGTGGAAATGGCAACAGGGGCAAGGTGTGAGAGGACCTGCGCTCTTTTAGTGACTGTATTGACTTTTAAAAGACAATGGAGAATTCGCACCTTTCACAGTCTTGCTCTCTCAGGACACTTTTCGCATGAGCAATCAGCTGCACAGGATTATGGGAAGGGAGCTAGAGGGCAGGCTCGCCCAACCCCGGAGCGACGTGCACTACAATATGCTGAGAGCAGCACCAGTCTATAAAGTGCTCCTCAGTAAATATGTGCAAGCTGATTTGAAATACAGTCAGCCTCTTAATTAATAATGATTAATAATACAGCCAATCAAAATACAGTGGCAGAAGTTCAGCGGTTCAGGATGCGGGGGGAGGGGTGTGATTCTTAACAGGGGTCTTGCTGTTGAAAGCACCAGTAAAATTTGCCGTCCCTCTCAAATAGATCGACAATTTACTGCTTATGTGACTTATTCAGTTCATTTTATTAAACAAAATAAATTATACCTCTGCAAAACATACAAAAGAGTATAATGAAATTTTAAAACCGCGATGAGTTTGCAGCTTGACTGTCTTCCTTCCCCCCTATACAAAGTCTGAGACATTCATGAGGAAGAAGCCTTTTCTTCATACCGGCTGTTTTGGCAGCCCTGTGTGGAATGCTCACACATTTCCGCTGTTTATCAGAGGTCCCAGCCACATCAGGCACCACCTCAGTAAGCCCGGCTCTGCTATTATATTTTCAAAGGATTTTTCACAGCCATGGAAATCACAGAGTGGCCTCCAAGCTCACGCTAGTCTAAACATGCACAAATTGCTGGGTTCGACCTTGACTAACTTTATACATCGTGTTCCTGCTGCAACCGGTTCCCTGTTTCCTCCCACGGACAAATTAGATCAGATCGTCTCATTGCCATGTTAAGTTTTGACATGATAATTACCTGAGAGTCAAGATTTATCTATGTATAAATGTCTGAGGAGACAGACCCAGCATTCGGCTGTGATTCAACTAGGTTATCTTGTACTCTTGGTGTAACAAAGAATTCTGGGAATGTAGGAAGGGGGACTGGCCAGGTGGGCTCTTCTGAATAAGCAATATTGTGCTCCATGGTAATTTGGATACGTTTGGCCCATGAAACAAACAGTGAGACAAACAAACACACATAAACAAACAAACAAACAAAAGCCAGTTCCCTACTGTCCCATTTACTCTGACTTCCTGGATCAGGACGGCCTTGTTTCCCCATCCACCCAAACTCTTATCACGGCCTCGAGTTGCAGTTGAAACAATTATTTGTGAGTTTAAACCTTGCATGGGTGGTGCCATTAATTGTTACACATCAGTTCAGCTCGCATTTGCTAGATCGAACTGAGTAAACGTAAACATTGTTTTTTTTCCCCCCGAGATCTTCCAGCGTGGTCTTCTGACTAGTTTGACGCAGATTTTTCCCTTTCACCTCCTTTCCAGGTACAAAACAATCATTTCTATCAAAGCAAAACAGTGCATGTATCTGGAGGAACAAACACTCAGTTGTTATAGAAAATTAAATGTTTTAGCATCGTTGAAATACCTACATTTGCAGAATATTCCACAGTTGACAGTTCAGATTTGACAGTCCATTAATGTCTTGGTCTCTCTCGCTCATCTGTAGTTTTTTACAGCAACCATAACTGACATCTCAGCCAGATGTCAGCGAGGACTAGTGACACCGTTCCTTTATCCGCCATAATGAAATCCCATTTCACGTCTTTATCTCGTATTTAAAACACCTCAGCAGTAATAGTATTTTAAAATATCACGTTGTCACGCATTTAAGGAAAGTCACCACAAGGACAATTTTGAATCCTTGACCGGAGACATTTGGTCTCTGGACTATTTTGTTTGTCACTTTTTTGGGTTATATAGCGTGGTCTTTAACACTATTGCCAGTGTTACGAGAGATATATAAGTAGCGTGTCTCTAATGGACTTGTATCTCTCCATGGTCAGGTTCCCTATTCCTGATTAGTATTCTGAATGGGCTAACCTGCCCGGTGGTACCATACATGTGGTTAAGAAGCCTCTTTGTTTCATGAATGCACTTGCAGGACGGTTGAGACTGGATAAGCACACACTGAGCTCATTAAGTCTGCTATAATAAACAGGCTTGTGAGTGATGTGCTCATTAAATATCTTCAGAGTTAATTTCACAGTAATTAAATAATGTTAAATGCTGTCTGGGAGCTGGTCATCTGACTACAGGCATCATCTGTGTATGAACAAAGTCCATGTGCCACTGGAATTGCAGGAGAATATGACTCATAACCAGTGGACCATCTATCTCTTTCTCAACCCTGGCTCTCTTCCCAGGTGCAGATTGGGAAATAAATTGCTCTGTGACGTCTCACCTACCTGCTAACTGTTAGGGCAATGACCATCTCCAAGGCACTGAACTCCGTCAGTCTTTGAAAAATCCCTGAGAATGGAAAGCCGTCAACTCCTGTGGCCTGTATCACAAAGCGAGATTTGTTCATTAGCTGGATCACTGTTTCTCAATCCGGTCCTCGGGGAACCCTACATGATCCATATTTTTGCTTCCTCCCATCTCCCAGGGACTCTGAGCTAGATTTAAAATCCATCTTGGCTCCTGCTTTCCACCAAACAAACACATGTTGTGACTAAATCAAAATAATAAAAACAGATCTATGTGTCTGCTTGAAATAAATAAGAAGAGACCACAGAGCATAATGCTTGCAGTCCATTGACCACTGACATTTACAGTTTGAGTTTAAACTAAAATGCATACTCATGAAAAGTGCCCTACTTAGTAAACAGTTTTCAGTTAAATAATTGACTACATCATGGTACATAGCTTGTGTACTTTGGCAGGTTTTTGTAACCATTTGTGCAATTAGATTTGTGCAATTAGCAATGAATGAAGCAGGCTACCATAGCAAACAGGTACTGCCGCGACCACCCGCACGCGCTCCCAGCCCCCAATAGTGCGTCACAAAGCGCCGCAGACCGCTGCCCTTATCAGAGCAAAGCGCTGCGCCTGGGATAGAAACCGGGGGCATTGTCGCATTGTTCCATTACCCTGCAAACAGACAAATGGCGATCCGGCCGGCTTCTCTTTTATTGCCATCGCTTGTCACAGCAGCTGAGAGGCAATCTTGTAAAGTTTTAAAGGGGAGTCCAAATAAAAGTAGTCTAAGGTAAGAACGATACGCTTCTTCTTTCAAAATATTAAAGATTGTTTTGTTCTCGGACTGTTTATATATGTATATAAGATTATTGCGTATTATTTGATGGTACAACTCGCATTCTGCCTTTGAGCATATATTATTGTGGCTTCTTGCACTAGGTTTTGTTTTGTAGTATTTTTTATTTTTTTGTTGTTTCCTGTCTCTGATAACTGGAACAAAGACAAACATTCAGTCAGTTGGTCGTCTGGCTATTTAAAATAACATGGGTAATTTAAACTGACTGTTACCGCTGATATTTCTGTAGTTTTTAGCATATTTTAATCAGTCCTGCAGCTGTCGGATTCCCCTCCAAGTATAATCATGCACGAAGTAAGGCCTATGTTTCATTTACCTAGACAAGATTCTTAATATATTTTTATTTTGAGTCCAGTGCATATTTAGTCTCGATGTCCAATTTATGATGTACATATTGGCTGCAGTAAAACATAGTGCAAGCAAAAATGTATTTTAATAGAGTGACTGAGGCTGTGGACCGTCGGGTTACTGTGTTCCTAAGCACAGGTCGGATTCCTACACCCCAGACCTCCAGGCGCATTAGAGCAGCTCTTCATACAGCAGATTGTTTAGGCAAAACGCGGCCGACAATGATGATAAAATCTGGAGCCCAGATAATTCTGATAGCCTGCCGGGGCGTAGCCAGACCTTTTATGGGGGTAATATTTCGCCTAACGTGACGGTCGGGGGTGCGGGGGGGTCCTTCCTCGATTTTGCCGGCCCATTTCCTGGAAAATGTCCTGGTATGCCGGATGGCCAGCTCAGCCATATTCTGGGGGGAAGTTTTGTTTAAGTTTGTTTTCGTAAAATCGAATTTTCTTTTATTCTTTTTTAATTCTTCTATTAACAACTCACGTGGATCATTGTATTTAATATATTATATTAACCCGCAGAGCTTGGATGTTGGGAGTTCGACTTCCAGGCAGAAACTTTTCAATTACTGCTGCCATGCAAAATAAAAGGGCATAGTCCCTGAGGCTTCCTTTGCGCTTTTATATAGATGACTGCTGTTCTGCATATAAAAGCAATTCTTTCACGCATTGTAAACGTTGACTGTAACCCACGCCTGAAGCCGTCCGCCCTTCCCTCAGACACTTGGCGTCCTGTGGCATCCCGGCCGCGCGACAGACCGCCACCCACCCCGGCTCCCCTGGCCCCCCCGGCACGCCCACTCGCGGCTTTATCAGCCTCGCCGCCCCACTCGTGGCGCGGAAGGTGCAGTATGCAGAGAGCCGGACGCTCGGGTGAGTCTGCGAGGCAAAACCTTTCGAGATCAAAGCGCAGCTGCGGAATGTCTGTGTTTGGGCCTGATACAGGAATCCAGGGCTGCCAGCTCTCACCCATCTGACGTGACACTCACGCTTTCAGACTCTCACGCATCTGACGTGACACTCACGCTTTCAGACTCTCACGCATATGACGTAACAGTCACGCTTTCAGACTCTCACGCATATGACGTGACATTCACGCTTTCAGACTCTCACACACTAAATCTTACGGCAAATTTATATGATTCCACTATAAATCTAAAATTAGCTGCATCAAAAGTGTTGGGGTAGTTTGCAAACCTTGCAGTCTATTTACAAGTTAATAAAACTGTTACATACATGTAAATGCGTGTGCAGACTCCTCTCGAATTGATAATCTCACTCCAGCCCTGAAGTTGGCAGCCCTGAGAATCATTACTGCTACTACTGTAAAGTGTCCTTGTGTAAATTGCAGTTTCCCCTGTTATCAAACAAACAAATTAGTCTTATAAGGTATTTGATACTAATAACATTGTAGACCAGTGTTTCTCAACCCAGTCCTCAGCGAACCCCAGCCAGTCCACGTTTTTGCTCCCTCCCAGCGCACCTGTACCTGCTATTCGGTGTTCCTGATTGGCTGGGAGCTGGGAGGGAGCAAAAACGTGGACTGGCTGGGGTTCGCTGAGGACTGGGTTGAGAAACACTGTTGTAGACAGTTTTGGCAAATTTCTGTGATTGAAGCGTTTAATTGGGACAGCACGGGTTCATGTTTAGCAAATTGCCCCATTTGTGTTTGCGTGTGCGTGCGTACATGCACGCATTCCCTGGTTGTGACGGCCACTGCCTTGCGTGACCTTTGCTCCAGATACACCCCCGAGCAGATGTATGATGTGGTGGCCTGCGTGGACCAATACCAGCATTTCGTTCCATGGTGCAAAAAATCGAGGGTCACGGCGGCGCGTAACGGCCACATGCGGGCACAGCTGGAAATCGGCTTCCCCCCCATGGTGGAGCGGTACACCTCCGAAGTCACACTGGTGCCCAACCACATGATCAGGGTGAGCCCCATCCACCCCTTAAAGTGCTCTGAACAGTCTTGTTATTAATTCTATGAAGGACATATTTTTTATGTCCCTTCCATGATTTAAGTAATGATCCAGAATAGTTTTTGATTTGTGATTGTAATAGGGTTTTCTTTCAGGCGGTGTGTACGGACACCTCCCTCTTCCACCACCTTGAGACGGCGTGGAGTTTCAGGCCCGGAGCCCCGAAACAGCCCTGTCCATGCAGAGTGGATTTTTATGTAAGAGATACTTCACGCTAATGCTAACTCTAATCCTGACCCACTTAGGATCTGTGTTCTGTGCCACGTTGATATGCTTAATGAGTCTCACTGAGGACCTGTTAACATTCTACCTTCAGCTGCCGCTTCAGCGCCTGAACGTCTATCAGCAGTAGTGATGGGCGTTTCTTTCAGGTCTGGAAAGTAAAAATCCGGACCAAGATTTTGTTTCAACCATGTAAACCTCTTGTAGCAAAAGAATGTTGGTCCAGAAGCAGGTGTCCCTTTTTTGGCTTGAAAGGTGTAAATGTCGCTCCCTACTGTCAGTTTGTTAATTGACATTGTAACGATGGTTTTACAGGGGGGGAATTTCTACAATACGGGAGTCTTGGTGGGTTGGAAAGATCATGCAACCACAGCGCTGTCCTCTCTACCCCCCCCAGGTGTCTTTTGAGTTCAAATCCCTGCTGCACTGTCAGCTGTCGACGTTGTTCTTCAACGAGGTGGTGAAGCAGATGATCTACGCTTTCGAGAGCCGGGCGCTGGAGTTATACGGGCACAGCGGCCCGATCCAGGAGGTGCCAGTTAGAAGCAGAAGCTGTGAACACTCTGCCGTCCCCGAAATGTCTCCGTCCTCCTAAGAGGACAGACCCCCCCCCCCCCCCCTTTTCGTGTCCACCTGTGGTCACTGCGAAGGAGAAGCTTCTTCGGTTTTTAATTCGTCCACATTCTCTGTTGGACCTTAACTGCGAGAATTTAATGTTTTATTTATTTTAAGAGATTTTTAAAAATGTTTAAAGTTTTATATGAGTATTTGAACAAACTATGTAACCTTTCTAGTTTTGTTTGTATGTGTGTATGTATGGGTAGGAGCTAGAGAATGGAATACATCAAGTATTATAAGTCATTAAAATTAAAGGTGATTTTTTTACCTTGGTTCTCTTCATTCCTTTGATTGCGGTCGCTTTAGTTGCAGTGTCCCTTTCGAAACGGCCTAACCGCCACTAGATGTCACTGTTTCTGCGGTTCATTTTCAACCAACTCTGCACATGGTTTAACTGCAGATTATGAGCTTATTCCAATTGGTGTTCATCCTCAAATCAGAAAATATTAATAACGTATTTAATACCTTAAAATTGTGTTATGTAGGCTGTGGTGTTTAATCTTTAAGTCCAGGTAAAACGACCTTTAATACTCTGTGCAGAAGTTCCTTAATGAGTTTGCTCGATTGCACCTTATGTATTGTGTTTAACCATAAGATGCACATTAAACCCTAAAATAAGACATTTATCTGAACCTGTGGGTGGGGGGGGGGGGTAAACCAGAGCAATTGCCCAGTATGTTTACATAAAAAAGGGCAAATAGATAATATCTAACGGAGGAAGACAGTCAAAACCCAGACACCATTTGTTTTTCTCTTCATATTACAAATGTAGTTTATTAACTGGCTTGCAGGCTAATGTACTATATGAACTAAATGCACTCTGTATAATTTCAAAGTCTGTTTTCAAATATATATAAAAATGCACCACTTTGTGGTTAACAGAACTTGCCAGAAGCAGTTTTTGTAGGGAAAATGCTGTTAAATTAAATATCGGATAAAACACAATAAGGCACATACCGACGACAGTGAATATTCCACTGCCCGCAGCCGCATCTGTTCCAGTAACTTGTACATAAAATATATAAGGCATTTAATCCCAAATGTAGATTCCTTCTTCCTTATCCTATGAGAGAAACGAAGCACATGCTGCTTCATGGACATTTTAATGAAGTTGGGGAAAGAAAAAAAAACAGGCTGAGCTTGTAAAACCTTTGCATTCCTGTGCTGCTATGGAGCCTAATTTACAAACCTATGTGCACATTTCCCAAGCCGAATGTGCACATTTCCCAAGCCGAATGTGCACATTTCCGAAGCCGGACAAAGATACAAGAGAGTCAGAGACCAGAGAAATGCTTGGCTGGGACAGACAGCCTAACTCTCCAACCAGAGTCTGGCTGAGCACAGCGCCTCCCCCTGGCTATTGGTGGCTTTGCAGGTATACAGTCCTGTGTCCGCTGGCCCCAGCTGGGTCAGGACCAGGGTGCAGTGGCCATCCTCTTCATATTCGATCAGGGTTCGAGCAGATTCCTCTAGCGGCTCCTCGTCCTGCAGCCACACCACCTCTGGGTCGGGGTACCCTGTGTGGACAAGCATGTGGGCAGTGAGGGGCAGCGTCTCCTACAAACTAGGCAATGCCACACCTACAGGCACCACAAAACAGGCCTATATCCCTGACTGGGTTCCAAACCCACCCAGCTTCCGGGTAAAAGTCTGCCACACGTTACCTCTAAATATTACTCTACAAAAAGTAATAATAGGTATTGAGAATAGAAGAGAGATACTTTATTAACCCCCATGGGGAAATTTTCCTTTTGCCAGGTCTTGTTCTCCATACAGGTGAGGGCAAGCTTGGGGAGAGGGGGCGGCCTCCTCAGGGTGCTAGAGGGTTGGGGGGCGCAGTCAGGGGCCCACAGACATGTGACTATTCTGCCGTGGCTGGGCTTGAACCAATGACCTTCTGATTACAGGCACAGAAGCTTAGTCTGCAGATCCACCCTCATTTTACTCATAACGGTCTTATTAGTAGTAGAAAACAACCATTATATCAGCTGTATCCTACACGATTTCTCTGATTACATCAGCAATCAGTGGCAATGACGCATCATACCCTGGATGTGGCAGGTGAGGCGAGCTGTAGACCCCCGGCGCTGGCTCTGGTCCGTCAGCACCTGGGAGAACCAGGGCTTAGACTGCAGCTGTTCCTCCAGGGACTTCAGCACCTGCTCCATCTCGGGGTAGAGGCTGGGGTCTGGGGAGAGCAGGCAAAAGGTGGGCGGTCATGTGACAGGAAACACTGTTACTAAGGGAACACAGGCAGTCTTTCAGTCTTTTGATAGACTAACTTCAGTTTTTTGATAGACTACAGCTACAGTTTTTTGATACCTGCAGTCTCCGAACAGTCGTGCAGTGGATCAGTCACAAGTTACAAAGGTTGCAAGCTGACGACGACCTGAACGTGTAGGTTGAGTGGCCAGAGAAGATAACGGGGGTCTTACCATCCCCAGGGTTGGGGAAGGAGCTCGGCCCGTCTGTCTTGCTGGAGAGCACAGCCAGCCTCTTCACCGCCAACACAGCCTTCCCTGTTTTCTGTGGGAAATTATTTAAATCCTTCTTTATTAACCTGCTGGGGAGCAAGTCAGCTAGTCTTAGATTAGTGCTTGGAGAGTGAAAGATCCAGAGCATCATCGTCCTACACTCTAGCCAATTTAAAATTTAATATTTCTTACCGAATTCACATTTTTCCTTGGTCTTAAACAATTATGAACCAAATTTATTCAAAACAATTTCTACGGTGACAGTAGCACAATGTGTTCATACACCGTTAAATAACAAAAAAAGTCTGACAGAAATCAGAAAGTCCGACATTTAAAAAAAAAAAATCAAAATAGTTTTTTTTAACCACACACTCCGCGACCCAATGAAAACAGACCCATGACCCAGTTTTGGGCCACGACCCCCCAGCTGAAAAACAGTCCACTATAGTATGCACTATCTATGGGGTCTTAATGAGTTACTTTCCATCACCTCCTACCAGGTAACTCTTACTCCTGTGAGGCTACATATCTGATGAGAACTGATCTGCTAATGACACGCTCCCCATTTCCGTTATTCCTCGTGGGCTAGAGTACCTTCCATTTCTGCTTGGCCAAGTATTTCTTTATCTTCTCCTTGGAGAGGGTTTTGGTGAAGCGCTGGTTCGCCGACGCGGACGCAGCCATCCAGGGGTGGGTGAGGGCCTTGCTGCAGGACAGCCGGCGTCTGCATGGGGCAGAAGGGCCCAGTCAGAGCAGATCTGGAGACAGATTCCCCTAAGAAATGCAACGCGGAGGATGGAACCGGATCCCACCGACTGTCCTTCCTGATGAGGGCCTTGATGAAGTCTTTGGCTTGGTCAGAGATCTCCTCAAAGCTTTGTGGGTTAAACATCAGCTGCGCTGCCGTCACCCTGGCCAGGGTGTCCGAGTCGCTCTCACCCTGGAATGGGGACTCCCCGCTAAGCCTGGGTACAAACAAGGGACAGAAGGAAACTGAGAAAACGACACTGGGAAGGACCTGGGAAGACATCACCTGTATGCCCTGAGTAACTTAGTTAGTGTGTAGAGCCTCCATATGGCCAACATATTATGCAAGTGCTTGGAATTTTTCTTCAACCGAGGAAGGAAAACCAAAACTAAAATATGTCTCGGAAAATGGCATAGGTGCTGTGACATTGTACTACCAGTAGGTGGCAACAGAATCACATAGATCACTGTTTCAACCCAGTCCTTGGGGACCGCTTCCGGCCAATCAGAAACGCTGAATAGCAAGCACGTGCACACTGGGAGCTGGGAAGGAGCAAAAATGTGATCTGTCTGGGGGACCCCGAGGACACGGTTAAGAAATACTGACATCGATCATCTGTCGTCAACAGTGGTTTTCTAATTAACGATCGGTGACCTGTAGCATTTCAAGACTATACACAGGGTTAGGGGCATCCTGGCCGGAATATTAGTCTATCATATTGATCAGCAATATACCTGCCTACACCGAGCTGAGGCTGGATTTGAACTTGCAAAGCATAAGTGAAAAATGCCTTAGTCAAGCCACGTTGACAGAACATTTATCAAAAACAACAGACAGCTGGATATTTCACTGAAGTAATTCAGCCAAAGTGCCTTGCTTAACAGTAGGGTTCCTCTTGGCAACTCGGCCAGCTACTCACAGTAAACACACCTTTTTCATCCTGCAAACTGATGGCACATAATGATACATAGATACACCAAGGTCTTAACTTTGACCAGCACCAAGGGCGTTGTGCTTACAGAAGGTAGCAGATGACTCCAACACTCCACATGTCAGTGGTCAGTCCTACTGGCTCAAAGTTGATCACCTCCGGAGCCACGAACTCAGGGGTCCCGTGCATGACTTTCAGGGGTTTGTTGGGATCTGGGAGTCAAAGAGGGGGCAGTGAGGATTACACATTCTGCATCAGTGTGGCTATTCCAGGTCCCGGCACCACGTCGACCACCCCCGACTCACCCAACTTGCTGGCCAAACCGAAGTCGATGATCTTGATGAGCGTCCCCGTAGAGTTGACACATACGATGTTCTCGGGCTTGAGGTCCAGATGCACGATGCTCTGCTGGTGCATGTACCCAATGCCCTCCAGGATCTGCCTCATATAGCGCATGCTGGTGGGCTCCGTGTGCTCGAAGTTATCGTCCACGATGCGGGCGAACAGCTCCCCTCCGGCCACGCTGCGGACAGAGAGCTTCCGCTCGTCAGCGTTTTCGGGGGACGCTTATTCTGTATCTCTAGGGTAGTATTTCCCAACCCGGTCCTTGGGGTCCCAGAGACGGTCTACGTTTTTGCTCCCTCTCAGCTCACCACCCACACTGTCCATCAGTACATCTTCGGTAAAGAGCCTCTATAAGTCTGCATTAGCCTGACCTCTCTTTACCGAAGATGAACTGATGGACACTCTCCGTCCAGCACCACACAAACACTTTCTCGCGAAACGCATTGCTACAGGCATCTCTAGGGGCTTGAAGAGCCGTCACTCACTACTCCATGACCATGATGACCTCTGAGGGACCTTCGTAGGCCCCGAGGCACTGCACCAACTTGTGGTGGCGTAGGTCCTTCATCAGCTCGATCTCCCCGCGTGCCGCCTCCCTCTCCTTCGCTCGGCGGCCCTTGTAGAACTTTCCGGCGCATACCTGGCCTGTCTGCTTGTGGACCAGCCGGAACACCTGCCCAAACTTTCCTCTGAGCAAAGAGAGGAAGGAACCTGCTTAATTAGGGCAGAGGACATGCAATATCCATGAATTATT